CTCCATGTTGGACTTTTCACTTTAGAAAGTTCCTGCGAGAGTCATCAGGACTCCTTACGATTCCTGCTGGAGTTTTTCATAAACTTGGGACTCCCGTTGGAGTTTTGCCGGGAGTCTCGACTAGGGTCGCGATTGATTAACAAGAAAATTCACCAAAATTTTTATTAGTTGGAGACGGCCGATTAACCGCGATTAATTACAAATATTCGAAAAATCGACGATTTTTTGCCGAAATCACGATTAATCGTTTGTTTTTTCGAAAATCGTGATTAATCGTCCAAACTTAGGCGATTTTGACAACATGAGTTGTTTTACTTTTGTCTAAACTTTACATTTATCTAAACACACAATAATAAAACATTATCCTAGAAGATCATTATTACATTTTAAAAATGTTAACATGCATATAATGTTGATGCCGATAACTTTGAACGATGTGGGCGGATGATAAAGTCGCTTTAAGAAAAAATTCGCTCAATTGGTGTGGATGTTGCAGTGACAGTAAAATATTTTAGAGCTAATTTTGATAAATGAGGATATGACTGATGTTATGATGAGGATACGTTGTTAACCGAGAGTAAGAGAGAAAAAGAACTCAAATTAGTGACTACAATAATTACATTTATTCATTTTGCAAGACCAAAAATTCCTTGTAAAACATAATATTAAAAAAATTTTAAATACTCGATTACACTTTTAAGTACTCGTGAAAACATTCCCGAGTACTCGTACTGAAAATTTTGTACTCATCCATCCCTGACTTGATAGCCATGCGTACATCTAGTCTACAAAAGTAGAATATGGCTGCAGAATCTAAACGAAGCTAAACAACAAATTCTGAATAAACGGTTTGTTTTAAGGATGTATTTATTGTATTTGGCCTAAATCCATTTAGCCATCTTATACAAAATTTTGCCTAGATATTAGTACAATCTTGTTAAAAACATTTTCGCATCAATATCATTGGATGTACGTCGGACAAATGGCAAGAATAAACATAATCGGGTTAGTAGTCTCACTTCAAATTTATTATTTCTCGTTAAAATTGCAGGCTGTGAACTCTTGGCATAAAACGACGTGCGAATGCGACTAAGGTGAATGAAAATAACATTATTTCACAAATGTAATGCTAGATGAATAATAAATGAAAACCGCAAAATTCAACAGATAAATATAACAAGAATATGAACATTGATTCAATTATTATTCGTAGACAGTAGTCTAGTTGAAGTATAACTGATGATTTAGGTTTGTTATTCAAACTGATGATAAAAGAATATAAAAATAAAAACAGGAGAATATTTTTGAAAAATTATAAATATTTCATGAGAATAAATTCAAAGGAGAACAGAATAATAATCCAAATATTTGTTTTTCTGTCCTCTTTCGTTTCACAGTAACAAAAATACAAAAAGAATGCACTGCCTTCTTCAGCTATAGCTGCCATAGTAGTCATCTGGCTCATTCGTTTTTCACTAATAAACTTATTTTAATGATCATTTTATCAAAATAGAAGTTGATTACTGATATAAAGAAGAAAAATTTCTCTCGATTTGTCGGTATATATAAAATAAGTATCCATAGCAGCTTGCTAGTCGCAGCATTTGTAACATAAATTTGTTATCTGATGGTATCTTCATAGACGAATTTTTGTTTTTTATTTAAAAAAAAAAAACGGAAATAGATGCGTTTGTTACCAGGTATTATTTGCGATAATTGGCGTTTAACACATTTATATTTTTATTCCGAAGAAAAATGGTATGCACGAAGTATGATAGTGATTTTAATAATTATGGAATTCTGTTCAATTGGATTGGGTATTGTGTTAAGCTATTGGAATAATTCATTTTTTAATGCATTACAAAAATTTGATTATTCAGCATTTATTAAATTATTGTTATGGTTTGTCATATTTGTTTTGGCGATTATGATTATTGGTAAGCAATCGTGATCTCAATAATGACATGTTTCTTGTTGTTGTTAACCCTGGAACGCATAGCTGTGACCATTGTAATATTTTAGATATAACTCCGCCATATTTTTATTCGTTCTGTTCGAGCAACGTTTCACTAGCAAGCCTAACTAAAACTGAACAAAATGAGTGCTTTTTAAATTTTTAGTATTGAAACTAAACTTTCTAGAAGTCAAACAAGTGAAAAAATAGTGTTTTTAAAACGAAAAGTTTTCAAATAAAGCCAACTTTTCGGTATCTAAATAACACTGACTAGATCTCCGATCCTGTCATCAGATACAGCATTCAGTTCTCTACAAAATGAGCGCAAAAGTTTGCTTTAGAATCCCTGAAACACCACGAAAACTGCCTCACAATAAGACGTACTATGTCCTTTAACAAAATATAACTACGTTTGAAAACCACATATCCAATAAGTGACATAAAAGTGATCATACTGTAATCAGCATACATCATTTCTTATGGAAATAATCGTTTTTATATCAAAAGTTCGATTTTTAAAAAAAGTGTTGAAGTAATTAGTGTGGTGCGCCTTATTGTAAGACAGTTTTCGTGGTGCTTCAGGGGTTCTAAAGCAAACTTATGCGCTCAGTTTGTAGAGAATTGAATGCTATATCAGATGGCAGGATCGGAGATCTAGTCAAGTGTTATTCAGATACCGAAAAGCTGGCTTTATTTGAAAACTTTTGGTTTTAGAAATACTATTTTTTCACTTGTTCGACTTCTAGAAACTTCAGTTTCAATACTAAAAATTTAAAAAGCAATCTCTACAAGTTGAGTATAAATAAAGTGTTTATCTGTTCGTAATAAAACAAATTTTAATAAAATAAATTTTCCATGTCTGGGATGGTGGGCGATCCCAGCTATGCGTTCTAGGGTTAAAAGTTCCATTTGATTGCCATATTACATACAAAAAGCAAAAACTGTTGTTCCTTTCTTGAGTATGAGCTTTTTCGACTTAATAATGAATAGTGTAGCCAAGATTTTCTGAAGAATGGACCCAAGTTTCTCACTAAATTAAGTAGAATTTTTTCCCAAACAAATTTAGTTTTTATCATTGTCTGCTTCAATCTTGGGTTAATATCGTTCGTTGACAAGATTGTAACATGTCGTGTAAGCTAAATTATTTATATTTACTCATTTTTTTCTTCAAATTTTGGCATTGTTTTCTCTCTAAGGTGTCTATAAACATTATTTAAATCAATTATTACAACTCTATTGGCGATATTGGTTAACGAATTATTTTATAAAAAAATATTTTAGTGAAAATGCTTACTATGGATGTTGTTTGCACACTCAGATAAAACAAGATAATCCTGATCAACGGATATCGATTGATATTGGACTTTATATTCAACAGACATATGATCTATGTATTGGAATATTAAATTCGAGTGTCACATTTATATCCTATGTTCTCATTCTATGGTCACTATCGGGAAAAATAAGTATACCAATAACAAATACATACGTTTACGAACTTCATGGAGGTATGGTATGGGCAGCCATTTTCTACGCGGGTCTGGGTAAGCTTACAAAGTCAAACACACAATTTCAAATTAATATAGTACAACAAGAGTTGTTAGGTTATTAGGTACATTAATAACAATGAAAATTGGTCATTTTTTGATAAGATTGAATTATAATCAAGAATTACATGAAGCTGATTTTCGTTTTGCTCTTATACGATTGAGAGAAAATGTAGAATCGATTGCTTTATATCATGGTGAGTCGTATGAACAAACAAATTTGAACGTTCTTTATCAATACTTAATGGCAAATTCTTATGCTATTATGTTAAGAAAAATGAAGTTAAATTGGTTTACTAATGGATATAATAATGCATCGATCGTCTTTCCATTTCTTGTTGCATCGCCACGTTATTTCTCGAAAACAATTACATTAGGTAAATATATCAATGTTGTTTTAAAACTAACAAGAGGGCTGTCAAAGTACTCTTACAAAATGTAAAATACAGATCTCGTAGAAAGCCCAGGAATCCAGAATCTAGAATTTTAATATCAAGAAACGCAAAGAACCTGGAATTTCAAATAGGAATTTCAAACCTAGGAATATCAATGAAAGATTTAGAATTTCAAAATTTTCATTTTACACTAATGCAAGACGTATTCTGCATCAAGGCATATCCGCGATCCCTTTGTCACCTGATACACGAAATAAAACAAAAGCACGCTCAAGCAAACTCGATATAACTCTTAGGAATTTCAGATCATAATGTATGAAGTAAGAAAAACATCTAGCAACACTTAGTAATCTACCCATTCTCTCTGTTACATGACAAGGAATCACTAGGCTGAATTTGAGAAAACTGTAATGTGCAGAGATCTGACAGTTCCAAAATTCTTAGAACGAGAACGGTGCGGTTCTGAAAGTTCTCTACCGAAAAGTAACTGCTTGGCAGTTCGAGTTGAGAATAGTATCAGTAGGCTCAGAACAATCTGGAGATGGATTTGGCACACTTTTTTGGGTGTTCGCTAGGCGCTGCTATACTCAGCTTGACGAGCTCTATTTGTTGGCTAACTCAGATTTTAATTTGTGGATGTTCGTGGGTGTTCGCGTCTTTTAGTAATACCCGTGCTTGTTGCACCTCTGTAACTCATATTTAAACAGGAGATGTTCGAAAGCTGAATTATGCTTTGAATAAATAAAATTAAATATGAGTTATAAAGCTGCAACAAATTCTATTCTAGTGATTTCAAAAGTCCTGCTATGTAGTATTCCGACAACATAAAAGCAGTATCGGAGAAGCGAAAACCGGGAATGCAATGGCAGCGTACACAAAAAGAACTGATGTGGAGCTGGGCCAGTCTAATCATGATTAAAGCGGTCGCTCGACAAATCCCCACAATCAGTGCACGACCTGAGAGTAGTGTAGAAACTGAAATTGTCTTCGACTTTTAGAATAACACAATCTACATTTTCAGCTTTTGGTATAACAATTAAAACGCATTAAACATCATTATACGGAAACTTTTAACACACTGTGAAATAATAAGTGCCCCTCGAGCGATGAATGCAGCGCTTAAAATAACCCACAGTGGAACACTTTTTACGACGGTACACATTTTTGTGCTTGAAGTACCTAGAGCAGGACACTTAGAGTGCCCCATTCATCATCCATCAAAAAACCTTTTAGTTTGTAAGGCACCTGTTTTTTGAGAGTGCACGCTTAAAGATACAGAATACAATGCTAAGAAGAAAACATGCTTACTGCTAATGCGTAGCACGTACTGAATGCTCAATGTTAATGGATAAAACTTCAACAACCCACAGCATAGATTCAACCTCATATACAGATGAAAGGAGTATAGCATCTTATGCGAAGAACAATGAAACTATAGCGTCGGAAAAATTCCAGCGTGCGATCACGCTCAGGTTCATATATAAAACAGCGACTAACAACCAATAAAACACCATCCCACACCCACCAGGTTCGAAAAATTGAAGGCGGTATTCCAAAAGTTGAAAAGTTGACTTAATAGATTAAAGGCTCAAAATATAGAATTTTTTACTCCAAAAATTACAGACTATTTTTCAACTTTGAAACGCTAACGTGAATCTTCGAGCTTTACACGTATGCGACATGACTGAACGACAATCAACGAATAAAATAAATAATTCCCAGTGAACATGCCTGAATTATATTTTGATAATATTTGAACGTAACTGAATAATATTTTACGTTTAGTAATAAAGTACTTTGACAGCTTTGACCAAAAATCAAAAACTTATTACTTTTAACATAGGTGATTTAACTCAAATATCATCATCATTTAATCATGTTCAGTCGGCTCTATCATTTATTTTGAATTCATATTCAAAAATTGCTCTATGGCGTTCATCAACGAAACGTTTAATTGAATTCGAGAATAATTTACAATATTTACATAACGCTAAGGAATTGTCCAATATTCGATTTGGTTATTCAACAACAGATGATTGCATCAACATTAGAAATTTGACTATAAATTTACCCATGAGTGAAGAAACATTAATCAATCATTTTGATTTAACTTTAGTGCCAAGACAATCATTGCTCATTACAGGTACTGCGTATTATTTAAACTATCGATGTGAAAATAAAAGGTTCTTCCAAAATTTTTTGAATAGATTGAGAGCAAAACAAGCTACTAAAGGGCTCGGATATCTACCATACCGTAGGGGAGGTGCACTTGAACCTCATGGAAAAGTAAAAGATTAACAACTCACGAGGGAACGTTTTTTGGTGAACTCTTCCGATTTCGTTCGTTCAAACGCCACTCGATAGAGTGTTGGGAGCAGGTAAAACGCCTAAATGGATATGAGCCCATGGCCCTTTCCTCAAAAGTTACAGCCATTTTCTTAATTTTCGCAGCGAAAACTAGCAAAAATAGAAAAATTCAGAACTCCGTCTTGAAAGGTCGTAGCATTTTCACAGTATCTAGCAGACCTCTAGAGTGACCACCAAAAAGCATTTCAGCTTGCTACGACCTTTCAAGGCGAAGTTCTGAATTTTTCTATTTTTGCTCGTTTTCGCTGCGAAAATTAAGAAAATGGCTGTAACTTTTGAGGAAAGAGCCATGGGCTCATATCCATTTAGGCTTTTTATCTGCTCCCGTCGCTCTATCGAATGGCGTATGAACGAACGAAATCGGAAGAGTTCACCGAAAAACGTTTCCTCGTCAGTCAAACATGATCCAAACTGCTTAAGGGTCCCCCTTAGAAATTATCTCCGACACCGTACGCCCGATCTTGACGAAACTTTCCATAAATGTTTGGCTTAATGAGTTACGGGAATGAAAACATTTTTTGTCTCCAAATCATACCGTTCAGGAGTTTTCCAGAGATCAAAGTCCAAAAAGGATCCTGAAGTGTTTCCCAAGATTTTTCAACATACTTCAAGCTGAACTACATGGTTTGACCAGCGCCGATTTTCCATTTAAGCCTTTTATTGCTTTTCCAGGCAACCAACAACCTCCAAAACCCGAAAACTCCTTCCGAATTTCCTAAAAATCCTTATTTGGATAAAAAACTAAGACCTAATTCAAAAATCGGCACTGGTCAGACGATATAGTTTAGTTTCCTCTTTCAAACAAAAAAAGAATAAACTCTCTATGACAAACCGCAATAAAAAATCTTGGGAAATACTTCAGGTGTAACTCTTATATAGAGAAAACGCTGTATGGAATACTCAATTTTAGAACGTCTAGGAAAATGCTTGTAACTTTTTGATGCAAGGTTGTAACTTTTTCATACAGAGTTGTACGAGGTCCTGTTTTGATCAGAAAAGTTTGCTCTACAAATCTGTGTGTTTAGAAAAATTTAAATTGCATAAGAATCCAGGAAAACACTATTATTTGAAGATCTGATCTTTCGAGGCTCCTAGAACACTTGCTCAAAATCCGCGAAAAATCACTTTTGTAACCAAAAGCGATACAGATTCTTAAAGTAGACACTGCAGGCTATCTTCCCATGTGGTTATCTCAAAACCGATGTTTTGACCGAAAATCACCATTTCTAAGGAGGAAGGGGGCTCTTTTAAGGACCCTTTAAAAATGCGCACAGAGGTATTTTTCTAATGGTAGACGGACATCAGACTTTTTTTGTGCCTAAACCATTCTTTCATAAATAATGATCATTGCTTAGTCATTTCTGATGTTGTTCAAGCAAAAATAAACGCCTAGATTTATAATCTATGTTGTTTTTGTTTTGGACTTGGCTGGCTGTAACGAAAAACTTAGTTTACCATAACACAAGGCGTTTTTAGGCTAAGTCTTTGCATAAGTATTCGAAGCGTTTGTCGATCTAAGAGGTGGTGTACATCAAACAATATATCTTGATATTCTGAAGCAGTTTCAACGTAAAGAAAAAATAAAGTTCATTTAAAGTCGTGGAAAAGTGCCCTTTCGTATTCAGTATACTCGATAGCCCAGTAGATTTTCTATTATTGGCGAGGAGTATTGCCAAAAGTTTAAGAGAAATTTCCAAACAAAATGGCGAAAAAAAATCACGTAGGATAATAATACTAGTTTCAAAAGAGTTCTTAAACTTTTGACAGTACCTCTCGCGAAAAATAGAAAATCTATTGGATTATCGAGTGTGCTGAATATGAAAAAGCACTTTGCTGCGACTCTAAATGAATTTTTTTTCCTTCTATCGATGATATGTTAATCGTACTTGACTGAATTGAACAGGTCCAAGCAAAACGGCTTATTCGAGAATCGTCATCGCTATGAAGATTGATCATGCGCAGTTTTGTAGAAAAGACTATCTATCTATCTTAACTATCCTGGAATCATAATAATTGCGATCTTCGTTAAAAGACAATCGCCTGAAAATTCGAGATTTTTCTGGTGTGTAGCGTACACTCTCTTCGTTCTCAAATTATTCAAAAATTATCGAAGGACATTTTATTTCGAAATAAATAGCGATAGAATCAAAATTTCAAAAATTAAATTTTTATTCAAGGGAGTTCTGGGTGTGGTAAATCGACGTTACTGCGTGTATTGGCAGGTATTTGGCCTTACGGTCAAGGTCAAATAACATTTCCATTAAATGATACTATCAGTTTTCTACCACAAAAACCGTACATGCCATTGGGTACTCTGTTACATGCTTTGACTTATCCGCAAGAGATTCAAAAATGTAAACTCTCGGATATTGACCATTATTTAAGTTTGTTTAATCTCAATTATTTACATTATCGTTTAACTGACGTTAGCGATTGGTCTCGTGTTTTGTCATTGGGCGAACAACAAAAAATGAGTTTCATACGTATTTTGTTACAAAAACCCATGTGGATATTTCTTGATGAAGCAACAAGTTCACTTGATGAAATATCAGAAACACTCTTATATTCAACATTAATAAATGAAATACCAAATTCGACCATCATTAGTGTTGGGCATCGATCAAATTTGAGAAAATTTCATCAGAAAGAATTAGCATTCTCAAAACTATCATAAAATCCACAGATATTTACATAAATCAAGAACTTGAATTGTTAATTAATTTAAGGGTTCTAATAATAAAATTGAGTATGCTAATAAGCTTTATAGATAATAATTGTCTCTCTAATTTTGAGATAATATCAGTAGTGAGAAACTTACTCGAATCTTACTAAGATCTTAGAATAATTTTATTAAGATCTTAGTAAGATTTCGCTTACATCTGCCTAAGATCTTAGACAAATCTTACTAAGTTCGTAAGACCCAAAAAGATTTGATAAGATTTTCCTTAGATCTCAGTAAGATCTTACTAAGATTATACTGTCTAAGATTTTTCAAGATTGGATAAGAATCTGTTAGGATCTTAATAGTAAGAACGATGACGTTTTCTTAATAATATTCATTCAAGATTCGCTAAGAATTTTTGAATTTTTAATCCGCATTATCCAAAGTAGCAGGTGAACAGTGTTGACGAATGAAGAGAAATTTTCATATTTTCGGGTGTCCAACCAGCATCTACAACCTCTAAAAAGTTGTTAAACACTTTCGAGAGGGCAAGTACTAGCAGAATCTGGAAGAAAAATAATCGTAAAATCAGTCATACTTTCGGTGTTCATTATATAGATGAATGAGAGCACAACAAAAGAGTAAACGAAAAAGTAGAATCATTAAATCTTATTAAGATCTTAAACAGTAAGACCTTAGATTATCTTATCAAAACCTTAAAGGGTAAGATCTTATAAGGTATTAATAAGATAATTTTAAAAAGTGTTAAATTTTGAATTTGTGAATGTTGTGAATATTAAAATTTCCCAGATAACGGGACAATTGTGTTCTGTTCTGTGAATTCTTTTCCCACAGACAGATCATTTTTGTTCTGCTTGTGGGAACAGAGATTTCTGGGACAGTTCAGTTCAATAAAATTGTATCCGCGTGAATCCGCTTGGATCCGCCTTTTCCCCCTTGCATATTTTACTGTATTTATTAATGGATTAAAATGTGATTTTCTCCATTTTTATTTTTTCTAACAAGTCGGTACATGATCGATTCTATGATAATTGATGTTGTTCATGTAGCTGTCTGACGCCAAAGAAATTGATGTTCATTACCATGTGGATGAATTGTGTATGACGTCACATACGAACATTTCTAACGATCGATAGGTATTAACATTTTCATTATTTGTAATATCGACTTTTTACAATTACAGATTGACTCCTTGATAATAAAATGTTTACTCCGCGAATCTAAACTATCACTTAATCATGGACTACAACTGTTCTTTGGATTATTCCAGTGTTCAAATGTAGCATTGCATCAATTTTTTGCAATTACTCAATGTAGAAACAGGTTTTCGCTAGTGCAGGTATCAACCAACCGTCGATATTATGAAGCATATAAAAAATGTGCTTTTCATTGTATGATGGAACAATAGTGTGCTCAAAACTTGCAGCATCAATAAGCAATGTTCATACGCAAAACATAGTAAAAAGTAAAACGTGCTTGAAGGATGCTTTTTGTTTGCCTCATGGCTAAATACGTGTTTTATCGCTAACTTGATACAAGTTAAATAAAATTGCTAATCCAACAAACTGTTGCCACACCAGAAATTAAATTTGTATCAAGTTAGCGATAAAACACGTATTCAATCATTAGACAAACGAAAAGCAAAAAGGGCGTCCCAAGAAAGTTAGCACAGCTTTAAATTTGCAAATAGATATAAATAAAACTGTAAAAATATTCATTTGGTGTTGTGGGAGAACTGTTAATTAGAAAGACGTAAGAAACGAATGAAAAAAATTTTCTGTTATTATCCATCTATTGCATTCGATATTCAACCTAATAAACGATGATATCTAGCTGATCTTCAGAAAATTTTCATCAACACTGTCCCTTGTTCAAAAGTTGTTATGATGAATCAGCAAAACAAGAAACACGCTGAATAGAAATTATTTTTCTCTAACGAGGGACATTCCCAAATAACGCACTCCACTTTTATTCAAACCTGGCAATTTATATGTAATCAAAGACGCTAATTACGAATATGATAGCTGTTTGTGCCCATAGATCTTTCCTAGTGCTTCTCTGGAGAACCGGTTTTCTAAAAATCCCCTGAAATTCTAGCAATGTTTTATCAACATGTTGGGATTGTAGCCTGAAAATTTTGCATCAAAATGAGACGCTTCCCAGCTCTCCACGACCTTTCTTTGCAAAGTTACAGAATTTACAAGAGAAGCCCTAAATTAATTTTCC